GGATCACACAGTTGTATCCAGAGCGTCGTCAATATTGAAGAATTACATCTCTTACTTTCAATTGGGGTCATCTGAAGTGGTGGCACATATTTCAAAGCAAGGTCATGCATAACAAGGAAAAGCGACCTCGATGTTGACCAAATAATATCCGCTCGACGAATGAATTTCGTCATTGAGTTCAGAACATACTAAATGCCTATGAATGACAATCAATTTGTTCGAATTAAAATGTGCGAGGAGGTTGATACACACCCCTAGGCAGACCACAACAATCGAGAAATTTAAGACTCAACGTCGCCCAAACGACGTCTGATTGGCGAACAAACTTCGCTATTGCATCCGGAATGCCACTAATACTCTAGATAGACTATCAATTTATTCAATTAAGGTTGCTCACACAAATCGAGGTGATCTCGATGAAACAACACACATTTCAAGGAAAGTCATGCTCGACATTGGCCAAATGATGTCTGATTGCGAAACGGACTGCGCCGTTGCAATCAGAACATCGACGATATCCTAAATTCACTGTTAATTTGTTCAAAGAAAATTACTCGATGAGATCGACACATATTACGATGTCAATAAACATGACTCGAGAAAACCCGCAAATCAATATCAATTTTCATTGATTAACATATGGCTGTCACCTCAAATTAATGATAATATATATATATGACATTACTTGACTACTCTTATGTTGTAATAATCAAGATTTGGTGAAGATGTTGTAAACATACACTATAAATGTATTTAGTGTACATATGTATATTGCAGCAAAAAAGAGAGGTATATTGAAGCAAAAAAATATGTGTGTGTATATATATATATATATATATATATTTGTGTGTTAATATATACCATTGTTAAAGCACCAAGCTTCATGAAAGAGATAAAGAGAGTGTCATATGACTGCTTAATTCCAACAATAAATAAAAAAATAAGCAGCTTTCTTAAGCTCCTCTCACCTCATACATAAATAAGAAAAATTAGAACATCGGTTGCCTGAAAATTTTCAGGCCATCCTTAATGTTCGACATTGCAAAATGATATAAGAAACTTGATTTCCAGAAGATCAGTCACTTGTTGGCAATCACCAACACCAAGCTCCTGTACTCTACGCTCGTACCTCCTAGCGTTGTACTCCAAAGCAGGTCCGAAGACTACCGTATCCAGGACAACCGCGTGTAACTAACTCCTGTAAGAGCAGATTGAGCCAAAAGAAAGTTGGAACTTGTCCCTAATCTCAGCAAGTGTAATCAAGTCAGAGCTGCAGCGTAGAAGCGGGTCTCTAGCTAAACATGTCCATGCGGCGTACATCTGTAACTCCTTGGACCTGTGGCCGTCTGTCGTAGGATGTGGCCTGGAACAACCCAAAATGTATGGTTGGTAGCCCTGCAAGCTCACTGAAACAATTGCTCTGTAACACAAGCAGCCAGTGCGCTCAATAATGGACAAACTCTGTGTCCTCTGTAACAAAGTACGTCTCTCTCAGCAATCCCCATCCACCACAACGATACCTCTCGGTGAGGCAGCAAACAAAAAATGTCTGACTGGTGAACAAAAGAGAATCGATTTGAGACCAACTGTGGGGCAAAGAAAAAGAGACAGATCATTTCTAACTCAAAGATGGAAGATGCCTGAGATAGTTGAAGAACTGTAGGGTATCCTCTCTCAAGAAAGTAGGCGGGGGTCTCTAAACCAGAGAAAGCACCCCGAACGTGTAGGTGGACCCACGCATAAAAAATTGCTATGACAAAACGTGGTCTCATACCTCAAGGGAGCTCGCCTCAGAAGTGTTGCGCAGAATTCTATGAATTCTGGTGTGTGAAAGTCTCTATTTATGTGCCAACTGAATGTCTGCCAACAGAACCTTGCACCTTGAAAGAGCCTGTCATGAGTGGGAGTACAAAAGTACTAAGCTAGAGCGCTAAGAAAGCCGTAAAATAAAAGTCCTCACCAATCCCTGCCAAAGTTGGAGAAGTGTAACCGACTGAAGAAACAGGCTTGGCAGTCTCCTTTGATAATGGAATACCGCGCTTCAAGCCAAAGCCAAACGTGTCGTGCAGCGTCACTATAATCGGAGATAGGTACCTCCTGCAGAAAACTGCGGGTCCAGATATCCATAGGCATGGAAGTTCTAGCACACCTCGATAAGTCTGAAGCTCTGTTGGTGTATCGGTAGTGTTGTAAAATTGTGGGGTAAACACCTAGCAGTAGCAATCTACCTCTCTTATCTCCATCTGCTCAGGGAAGACAAAACAGCTGCTCGTTTAGAGGCACACACTCCTCAAAATGGTGCCCAAAAAGTAGTAATTCGGAGACCGTATGTAAGTTTGAAAGTGTACGCACGAGCACCTCTTCTCCGACCCAACAAGTGCTATGACCGGCGTCCCAAAACTCGGCTAAGCCACGAGCCCAAGAAGTAGGATGCCTCTAGTCGAACAAGGAGGCGTAAACAACCTCGTAAATCCCTGCCTCCTAAAGCATGCCTATATGCGCCTAAAGGATGTAACAGGCCCAACAAACGTAACTACTGATCGGGCTCTGAACCTGCCCAACTGTTGTGTCCATCGACCACTTTGAAGGTAACGAATTTAGCTGACGTTGACTGAGAAGACTCGACTGCCCAACTGACTCAACTGTGTCTGCAACAGGAACTAGAACCTCGTAGGTTATCCAACCTATCTGGGCAACTGAACCCTCAAGTGGGTGGTACTCTCCGCACTGTAGTCTATGACTGGTGACCCACATGTCAGGATCCTCAATTACAACGGAGTCATCAAAACACTCGAGAAGCAAAGGAGAGTGGGTAAAGAAGCTGTGGAAGGTATCCCGCCCCTGTAACATATTCTGCTGCTGCTCTAATCTTATCTCGAATGTCGGCACTGCCCTGAGGGTCGTGTCTGTCATGACCTCCCAACTGATAGCCTCGTTAGGCTCCCCCGGAGGCAAATCATATGGCCCTCCCAACGGAACATTTTCCTGCACATGGAAAAGAGGAAAATGGTTTAGTAATCATTTAATAAATCAAATGCGTGAAAAATGAGGTTACTAAATAGTCCATCAACCACGTTGCAACAATCGTGGTACGCTCTAGATGCGTACCACATTTGTTGGGGGAATTTGTTGACCTCTATACGATGAACCACATGCAAGTGGAGCGAAACTGACGAATGTAGTGGCACATCCTTCGATGAAACACATCACTTGAAAGATCAAATGACCTCAAATTGCCAAACGGGTTGCACCATTACGATCAGAACATCAAATTCTTCTAGGTTGAGGCCTCTCACAGTCAAATCAGACGAGATTAGTCCTAAGGGACGGCTGACACTTGAAATTGACGATGACCGATGCCTAAATGATGTTCGATTGCAGAACGGATCACACAGTTGTATCCAGAGCGTCGTTAATATTGAAAAATTACATCTTTTACTTTCAATTGGGGTCATCTGAAGCAATGTTTAAAATTGCGTATTCGGGTATTGAGGCGTTTTTCATTCGTGAGGTGAGGCGTAAGCCTCAAAATCAAAAGATCGCGTAAACATAAAATGATAAATTTTTTATATACTAATGGATGAATAATATAAAACATAAAAAGCATAAGATATGAAGTGAAATCAAAATATCCCAATAATAAGACAACATGAAATGCAGTTCAACTAAAAATTCTATATTTCCCAAATCCCAATAATCTTTTCATTAACATATAATTCCAATTTCCAAAAATAAATAGCAATGACATATCACATAAGAACTCATAAGTCATCAGCACTGTCATCACTAAAGGGTTCTTCATTTGAATCGTCATTATGATGAACAACTCTCTCCCCTTCCTCCTCTCCTATAGAGTCCAATGTCAGGCATTTACTTCAAGATTTATGTAAGTTTTAATATATATAGCGTGAGGCGTAAGCCTCATGCCAGTGAGGCGAGGCAGGTCTCAAGGCGGGCCTCAACCAAGTTGAGGCGCAAGCCTCATAAAAAAGACTTGAGGCGTAAGCATCGAGGCGTTTTTTACTGGAATTGCGCAAAGGCGGGCCTCAAGGAGAGCCTCATATTGCGCAATTTTAAACCATGATCTGAAGTGGTGGCACATATTTCAAAGTAAGGTCATTCATAACAAGGAAAAGCGACCTCGATGTTGACCAAACAATATCCGCTCGACGAATGGATTTCTTCATTGAGTTCAGAACATACTAAGTACCTATGAATGACAATCAATTTGTTCGAATTAAAATGTGCGAGGAGGTCGATACACACCCCGAGGGAGAGCACAACAATCAAGAAATTTAACACTCAACGTCGCCTAAACGACGTCTGATTGGCGAACAAACTTCGCCTTTGCATCCGGAATGCCACTAATACTCTAGATAGACTATCAATTTATTCAATTAAGGTTGCACACACAAATCGAGGTGGTCCCGATGAAACAACACACATTTCATGGAAAGTCATGCTCGACACTGCCCAAATGATGTCTGATTGCGAAACGGACTGCGTCGTTGCGATCAGAACATCGACATATCCTAAATTTACTGTTAATTTGTTCAAAGAAAATTACTCGATGAGATCGACACACATTACGATGTGAATAAACATGAATCGAGAAAACCCGCAAATCAATATCATTTTTCATTGATTAACATATGGCTGTCACCTCAAATTAATGATAATATATATATGACATTACTTGACTACTCTTATGTTGTAATAATCGAGATTTGGTGAAGATGTTGTAAACATACACTATAAATGTATTTAGTGTACATATGTATATTGAAGCAAAAAAGAGAGGTATATTGAAGCAAAAAAATACGTATATATACACACACACACGTGTGTATACATGTGTATATTGAAGCAAAAAAGAGAGGTGAAGGGAGAAAAAAAGAAGAAAAAATTAAATAAAAAAATGAGAAAAAAGTAAAAAGAAAGAGAAATATTAAAAAAAAAGATTATTTGTGCATTTTTTTGTCACCATCGTCGCCGCTAGAATGCAAAGGTATAACATTTCCATACCTAAAACTTTGAGAGCCCATTTTGGCGTTAGCGGCGCACCGGAAAATCGTATATACACGCTTTTCTTAGCGTGGTGGGAAGGGAACCCGGTGAGGTGCCTACAACGAAGTGGGTAATCATCAAAATCCCCAATTTTCGAAAACTCACAATGACTTGGAAAAATTAACGAGAGACTTTTGAACTTGAATTTGAGCATAATTAAGATGAATGAGTTACAAGAATTTGGATGAAAAATAAGGGAAAGAATTTAAATAAATTTGAACATGACTTTAACATTTGAACTCAAACAAGGATTTGAGTTAGACCATAGGGTTTTTGGACAAAATTTGGGCAACTTGAACTTGAACTTGGACTCATATTCAAGCAAATGCAAAGAACTTTGACTCAGTTTGAGTCTAAATGAAAATTACAAAAGACTGCCATAACTTGAACTCAAATGGACTTAGTGCAAAAAGAAGTACACATAAAATTTATGTTGAATGAAGAGCTCATAAATACTCCTCACTCACAAATAACAATAAATGTTAATGCAAATTGATCGACTTGAACAATCTATATGGAACATGAAATGATTGTGACAATTTATGTACAAGCATATGCTAAGGATTTGTGTTAAATCAACTATCGATTGTAAACAAACAATGTAAGTTACAATGGATTTGCAAAATACATAATCAATTATTCATGAATGATGATATGAATCATACAACTGGTGAGGAAGGGCCCATCTTACACACAAAGCCTCATCCACAGGTAGAAGAAGAGAACTTATTGTCTGAACATTATAGTTTGTGGAAGGACAAGGGCAACAAGCTTTAATGAAAGTACTAACACTGTCACTAGATGTTATTCCATAAGCAACACTAGGAGAATTGCAATGAATATAGATGCTTGCATTACTAGAAGATTTATGATGAATAGTTACAAGCGACTATGGGTGACTTGTGAATGTCCAAGAACGACAATGGAATGCATACAAGTGAATACATAGCTTGCAAACATAAGCAATAATTCATCCATAAGTGATTATGAGAGACTCGTGGGTATTTGTGAAATACATATGCATACAACATATCATCCGCATGCGATAATGATAAATACACTATAGAGGTGATGGGTCTTGTGAATACAAATGTATACCAAAAAGATGCTATCTACAAGCAAAAATGTGAAAGAATTGTAGTAAGATCAAATACCTAATGAAAATGGAAGAATGGTTGCGTATATGGTGGTGTACCTACTATTCCAACCATCTTAAGGACTACAACAATTATTTAAGGAACAGATGCCTCGCATAGCTTTACTAGAAGGTCTAATGTACCTTCAGTCGCTGCATTTGTTAGTTCAAGGAATTGACCACTAATTTCGAAGTATAAGGCATCAATAAGGATATATTCATCCAAGGTTGAAATGATTGATTCTTTATTTAAGCCAACAATAGAAAATGATGAGGATGACATAACCAAGTTACTTATTGATTCCCATACGAGTTCTTGGAAGAGAAAACCAGATCAAATCACCTTCAAAGATGGATGGTCGTGCATCCAACATATTACCTATGGGCAAATACAAGGGGACTACGAATCAAGCACGAGCTTTTACGAGCTGATGCAGAAGACCCATTAAATTTCTAGAAATGCCCCCGCACATGCATTGTAATATGTATGCACGTAGGTACACCAAAAATGCACGTGTAACTGTATACCCGTATGGGCCCCGACGAGCGTGTTATTGGTATACATGCGATGTCTAGGGATGCTGCGCGGGTTAATAAATGAACCCAAGTTTGAGCCCGATCCTTTTATGTGGATAGATAGGAGTCGGCATGGCTCGAACTATCAATTAAATATACGGTCAGGGTGTCGACTGAAATATCTATTTTATACGTTTATATAAGGCCTTCAATGTCAATGACAAAAGAAATTCATCAACAAAGGCATAAAATCTATAAAACTTGATCCCCTGTCGACCATTAGACAGAGTCGACAAGGTCAAATCAATGAAATTCCCAAATGTCCGTACACCCCGATGATGACCGCAACAACAACAACAACAACAACATCAAGCCTTTATCCCACTACGATGATGACCGCGTTGACAATAAATTTCAACCAGAGCGGTTAATTCTAAATATTTCAAAATGCCACATAAATGCCCAAAAGTGAAAAATCAAAGACTCCAAAAATCCCAAAATCCTAGGATTGAAATATTTAAAAATGAAAGTAAACCATCAAATAACTTAAAGTGAAATTCATCCACCCTTCGCAACAGTTAGCCGAGGTGGACAAATTGAAATTTACTTTAGCTCTCAAATAGAGCTAATGCCTAGTCGAAAATATCATTATGATCCATTCTTAAATAATTTCCCGCCAGTAAGGACATGGTATGTGTCATTTGACCCGACATTTTTGCCACCAAATGGTACCGCAGGATGACACGGGGCCCTTTAAACTTAGTGGTTTTGCCGCCAAATGGCACCACTAACTTACGGTTATGGCTAGAGCCAATACGTTCCTTAATGACTTCAAATCCTTGAGATATGAATCAATAGGATATGATTGATAAGGCACAAAACCCTCTATTAGCTAAGGCGGATTCAAATTTGTCCCCTTACACAAATATCCACCCCAAGTCTACAAGGTACCCTTGGATGAAGCAACCCATGACTGCCGACAAGGATCCCTTCTGTCAGGTTGGGTCGCCTACCTCCTCTGACTAAGTGGATCATGGAGCACGATGGCCCGGGATGACGTAATGATGAGATCTTGATTGGGTCCATCATCTATTCCCCCACACTCCGCTTTAAGTATGAGATAGTGAAATTTCTAATTTTAAATATCAAATTTTTCAATACCTAAGCTCAATGCTGCTACTATATGCCAGATAACGCGTATTTCTACGTATTTGATTGACGACTAGCCTTAATCGAAAGTTCTCTCTCGTGATCAGGAGGGGTAATTTACTATAGAGGCTTGCGTTTATAGGAAACCAGAGTTCAGATCATAAAGTCCTCGCAAAATGAGGGCGAAATCTCTGGTTAGTGTCTTATCTACAAACCCATATGCCTTCCAAAATTTACCCCGGAGCTTAATTCGTTAAAACTCCCTTGAAAAAGCAGTGGGGGAGGCCGGGGCCGAATTTTCGGAGCCCACACTCCCTTGATCCTCCCTTCATCTGATTAGCTTAAGGTTTTCTCCACTTCCCTTACTGTCGATGACTTCCCTCACCTTCAACGACATTTTTTTTGGTTTTTGCCCTTCGGCATTTTCTTCAACATTTCTCCTAGGATGGAAAATTTTTAATCGATTTTATCATGGATGATTGAAATTTCTTTCTTTAAATCTGAAACTTGAGTTTGTAGATATGAAATTTCATATTTCATTTGTCCGATCTCCCCTTCTAGGTGTTTCTCCAACGCATCCACTTTCTTGGCCGCCATCGATACCCATATTTTTGTTGGACTAAAAGTCTGAATCTCGATTAAAAAAAAAAAGCAAAATAGCCGCCTTTCGAGTCCGGGCTAATAATCAGTGTTGATTTTCTCAGAAAATACCCCAAACAGTCCCAAAATCTGCTATGATGCCAATTTGTTAGGAAACACTTGATGATTTCAAGTGAAACTTAATGATCTTGACAATAACAGCTAGAATGATCAACCAATTCAAAGGAAAAACAAAAAAAAAAAAACAATTGTTTTTATTGGAATAGTTAGACTAACGAAAGAAAATAACAAGATACAATTGATTCTCTATTCGATAGGAGGATCTATCTCTGCCAAATCTCTAAACACTGCTAGAGACCAAAACCTAAGATATTTCAAATTTAACCAAATTCATGATGCCCTAATCCTAGGAAAACAAACTATTTAATACATACAATACAAAAGAAAATCTCTAAACAGTCCCTACATTCAAATTTCCCTCCCAACTCCTTTCAAAAACCTTCCTAAACAGCTCTGCAGTGTTTGGGCGGTCGGATTGGTGTACTGGAGGTGGAACTCCGCCTATTTCGCACGAGCGGGTCTCGTAGGACCGGTCTAACAGAGATTTTGAGGTGCTACTCTTTGCTTGATGAGATGCCTTGGTGTTCACCCATCTTAAATTCAACAACCCTAGGTTGCAAGCATTTATAAAGTTTATTACTTGTGTTTTGGCAGATCTAGCTGACATATTTGTTCTCTTTGAAGCTTTTGTATTCTTCTGATATGCATTGTCCTGTTGTATTTATGGCATTCCTAGTATATTGTTTTGGACTAGCTCACCGATTATACTTGAATCTAGGAGACAACTTGGCAGGGAACTGGCTCAATTTCATTCAGCAATTCACATGTTGCTCACAAATCTTATCTTCTTATTTCACTTGATCAAGTTACGAGGAAGTACTAACAAAATCATGTTTTCCATGTGGACTACTATTGTTTGAAACCCTACAAAACCTTTTAACAGTTCAAAATTTAAAGGGTGCAAAAACGGTTAAATTTTGAACTGTGAGCACAGTTCATCCGGTACTTCTTTTGAGATTTTGGCCAATATAATTGACATGACATGGGATGTTGATTTGTTCTCTCGAAAGCTGTTAATGGTTTATATCATTTTACATAGAGACTATTTTGTTTGAAATTATTTGAGAACTTTTAACTGTTTGAGATTTTAGAGGTTCCAAAACTGTTTAAGTTTTTAACTGTGAACGCATTGCATCTCTGATGCTTCTTTGATGTGTTGGAAAATTTAATTAAATGAGATAGGATATTGTTTTATTCTCTAGAAGCTGTTAATACAGTTTTCAAGTTGCATGTTTCATCTTAAATAATCATCTAATCTTTTCTTGCTGGAAAGATATGCAAAATATAATTACTAGCCATTAGATACAGTTTTATTGTTCTCATTTTTGGCCAGGTTAAAGATTTTGAACGGAATGGTGCCGATCTTACCTCAAGCAAGAAAAAAGAGGCGGAGAGTTTAAGGTCTCAAATAGATAAATTAAGTTTGGAATATATCCAAAACCTCAACAAAGACAATAGTTTCCTTTCCTTCAGTGAAGCAGAGCTTGCTGGGATGCCGTCACAGTTTATGAAGGTTAATAATTTGAGAAACCCTTTAATTCACGAAGCAAAGCTCAGAGCTTTTAGCATTGTGAAGCATTGAACGTTAACTTTTCTAATTTCTATTGTATTTGCTCAATTTGTGAAAATTGATCTTTGGTATTTTCTGATAAGAAAAAATTTCAATCTGCATTGTTTGGTGAGGGAGATTGTTTTCTACGTTCACAACTTCATATTCTGTCTTGATTATTTGCATCGATATTCTTTTTTAATGTTGATTTGCTTGGTTTTATGTGAAAATTTAATATTATTCTAGCAAGTTTCTTTGGTATGTATTTCATGATGTGCCTTAAAACCTCCATATTTCATTTCATATTTCTATCATCACATCATTATCATTAGCCGTTGTTACCAATAAAAGTTGGTTCAACTTCAAAAGTTGTAATTTACCTAACATATCTTTCAATATTTACCTCTGTTAATGACCGATTTTCAAATATTGATTCAGTTCTGCTTTGATGTCCTTGTATCCTTTCTTTTACCTTTGTCTTTTCTTCTTATTAATTTATTATTTACTTATATATGTTTTACGTTCACTTATACATCTTCCGAGCTTGGCTTTCTCATGTAATGGTCTTACAACCTTAGTATCTTTCTTTGTTTGTAGAAACAATTTTTTTGGTGATTTGTGAGATCCACCATTAAATGTTTATTAGTTGCTTTTTTTTTGAACAGCATATATTCATGATTAAATCAAACGCTACTATAAAATAAGCTATAGCTTTTCGATCACATTTCAATCTGATCTCGAGTCCTCTTAGAACCTTTCTACTGGTACAAAGTCACACACTTGGCCATTTAGATCACTGGCAATAATAATAATAATAATATTGTCCCATAGGATATGTCATAGCAAGTTGCTATAAATTCACAAATATTTTTTCAAGCTTTCTACTCCAACTATCATTAGCCACATTCACCTTCAACATTGTCTTTCATTTCATTATCTGCTACTATCCGTGCTCCACATCTTTTGTTGAACTTTACTGTCTGCAATAGCTGATAACCTTCGTTAATATTTTGTGATTTCTCCTTCTCATTTAATTTCTCAATATGCACTTTTTTTTCTTACTATTTTGCTACTATTTTTATTGTTTTCCCATTCAAACTACAGAACATGCCATACTCTTGTTTGTGTTTGGTTGCGGCACATTACTCATAAAATTTTCACAGCCAACCTTTTATTTATTTTCATCACAATTTGTTAAAGTTTGTCAACATTTTCATGTTTGATTCTTAACCAACTCTTACTCGTTCCTCACAATAAGAAAGTAATGGCAATTTTCATCTGGAAACAGTCTAGCATTAGAAATATCAAATTATATTATATTTTGTTGTTTTCTTCTTTAATATCCGTGATTGATGTGGTCTGGATTGTTGTGTAACTAAGCACCCTTACAGGAAATGGAATTTCTTATGAATATATCAGAAAGTGCCATCCTTGTATTTTTCCCATGAGTCATTCATCCTGCAGTGCCACTCAAGTGTTGTCTATGCTTATTTGTTTTGATATAATTTCTTACTTTGTATTGCTTTGTCTGCTGATGAATTTTCTTAAATTCGTGATCTAATTTGCCTCGTTTTCCAATGCTACCTGAATCAACTTTCTTTTGAAGTTGCGTCTGTATCTAGCTGAATTATCTTTCTTTGAAGTCTCTTCTGTATGTTATTTTATCCTTTCAGATTATTTCCCCTATTCACTCATAAAACTCTAAATTCTAATGGCCTTTTTTTTTCCCCATTTTTTGCTTGATTTTTTTCTAAACTGTGAATGCTTGAGATGCAAATATTTTATGCTTTGTCAGAGTCTGGACAAGACTGAAGAAGGAAAGCTAAAGGTTTTTTTGAGAATCTGTCACGTTTCACCCATACTTGAGTATTGCAAGGTTGGTATATTTTCTTTGATATTGGCGGCATGCTAATTACGTAAATATATGCTCGTCCTGTTGTTTTAGAATTTATTCTTATTTGTTGTAGATAGGATCTACCAGGAAGTCTGTAGCAGTTGCTTACTGGCAGAGGCGCGGGAGAGAAAATCTTGAGATACTGGAAAATTTGGTGAAGCTCTGTTCCCTTCTATACTGTAGTGACTTCGTGCTTTGTTCGGTGGAGACTTGTTCTGACTTAGATAATGTTTAAATTTAATACATTTGCAAATTGCCTATCATTTTTATCACAATTTTCTTACTAGGCGTTAAATCAAGCTGTGTGGTATGCAAGCATACGTTGAAACTACTTTTTGCGGGCAAACTGGTGAAAATCTTGAATTATTTTATTCTTGATTTTGGCCATAAAAAGCGTGATGGAGGAGGAAATGAGTCATTTGTGGCCATTTTGTTACGTCTAACATGTTTGCCACTTTCTGAATTTGTATGGTCAGCTCTTTAATTATGTATAAATGTTGCAATAATATATATGAAACTTGCTAGATCTGCACTGGGGCTAATGGAAGAAATGGTTACACTTTTTAATATTAAATGTGTACTATGGTAATATAAAGACCTGCCAAAGAATCAGGCAAAACATTAATTGAGTAGACTTTGCAATTTACAACTTGTTTCTCTTATAAATACTTTAGTCAGTAAACAATCCCTCATACAGATTCTAGCTAGAAAAGCCACACTGAAATCTCAATCTTACAGCTTGGATAGATGGGAATCTAGCGAACCTTTAACTAAACTGTATACAAAATAAAATATTTTTGCTGTCCCCATTCTTGATTCAAACCGGAAATAGAATTCCCTCCCTCTTGCTTGGTTCTTTTGGGTGACAGCCCTTCCAATTCCATATACAGAAAGTGGAAGGAAGTAAAATTGTCGTTACCAGTCTCAAGCCTTGGATGAGATAAATGGTTGGTTGCGTTAGGTAGTCTATAGTCAGTGTAAAACTTGTCAAATAATTATGATATAAATCTTTTAATTTATTATGTTAATGCTAGGGCCTTCTCGAGAAGCAATGCATTATATGGCCTAAATACAACGAGAAGTGTGCAAGGGTTGCTGCACCGGTGTAAAATGTTGTCTTAAGATTAGATGAGGGGCATTTAAAGGATACCAACAAAAGTATTTTAGAGGGTAAGATTCAAAATATTAAGATTTTGACTTTTGCATGAGGAAGTTCATGTTATGTGAGAAAACATAACTAGTGATATTAAAAATATTGCAAAAGATGTGCTTGGAGTATCTAATATAAAAATTACTAATAGTAGAAAATAGTTGGTGGTGAAATTAAATTGTGCAAGAAAAGATAAAAAGTAAGAAGCTTTGTTATAAAAATTGTTTTAGATGTAACAGCTTATAAAATTTTGATAGATATAAAGTGACTCATAAGGAGTCTAGGAAAGTATTATGCTATGCAAATAATTTAGTTTTTAATGATTCATATAATATACTAGATACTAAGGGGGACAAAAGATATACATATAAGTTAGCCAAACAAAGAGATAGGAGAACCAAGGATTTAGTTCAAGTGAAGTTCATTAAGGGTGAAAATAAAAAAATTGATTTGATTAGAAAATAATATTTAACAAAGGTGGATGAGATATTTCGATAAATTTTTCATTGAAGATTGTGAGAATACAATTGACTTTAGAAACCATAAGAAATAAAAATGAATTTTTTTTTATCCTCGTATTAGTAAAACTAACGTCAGAGAGGCTTTAACAAAAATGAAGTGTGGAAAAGCTGTTGGACCCGATGATATTCCAATAGAGGTGTGAAAATGCTTTGGAGACAAGGAATTTCATGTCTTACGAAAATTTTAATATTATTTTGAAGACTAAAATCATACCAGAAGATTGGAGGAGTGTATTGATTCTTATTTTTAAGAATAAAAGTGATGCATAAGAGTGTGCAAATTATAGATGAATTACTTTAATGTGTAATATATTAAAACTATGAGAGAAAGTTATTGAGCATAGGTTCTGGCGTGATACTAATATTTTTTTAAAATCAATTTGGATTCATGCCGGGTTGGAATAAAATGAGTCATTTTTTAAAATCAATCAACGACTACCATGATAGAGTACTTATGGTGCTAGGCTTTTGGAAGTCCTATTACGAAATCTATACTCACATCCACCTAAGGTGATTAAGTTTAAGCAAGGGAGTGTATAACACAGTCTTTTGATTCCTAGTTTTTTTTCATGCAGAACAATCAACATCTTTTAAAGAATGGGTCAACATTGAGTTGAATAGAAGGCGAATAAAAATTTTCTTGAATTAAAAAAATGGCTTTGTCATGATTGAAAGCATCTCCTAATACTCTTTTGTGATACTAAGATAGAATAGCTTATTGTAGGGAACAACGTGGAATAGAAACTTGATCATGGAAAAATAAGTACCCATCTTGATTTTGAAAGAATTGATGGGTTTCGACTCAACTTAGCATCCAATTTTACCCAAAATCTAAGTCCTTGGGATAGAGATCCTTATAGCTTTGAAACCTATGACATTTAATTGAAGGGTACTAAGGAATATCGACAACTCAAAGCGATTGCAACTTTTGAAATCTCGATTTATGTTTTAAAATGCAGTGGAATGATGAAAGAAACTCAAGCCACTTAACATGTATTCCCTTAAGTTTATATTGATTATGAAAGTATTTTAGAGCTGCATGGTTTAAATAGAAAAAATGAATTCATTGAGCAATAGTTGATGTTTCTAATGTTCTAAAGGATGAACTCTCACATAGAATTCTTTATCATATATTCAATATTTGTATCGTGCCTTATATTCAATATTTGTATCGTGCCTCATTTAATTTTCTCCTAAAATAGGCAACTGGATGCCAACTTGTACTTAACACGACACTAATACCTATGTTTGAGGCATCACATTCTACTTTAAAATATAATTGATATTAGGAAGGGAAAGGATCAAGATGTTGATCACAATTTGTTTTAGGTTTTTTAAATTTGGAGTTGGCTGTGGGCGTTGAAACGAATTTGTTCCCTTAAGATCTTCAGATAAAGGAGCATCTATAGTGTTGAAGTTCTTAACGAAACAACAATAAAAGGACATCAATACTTGGAAACATTTTATATCAATGAATGATTGTGGTATGGGCCAATCTAAGATGGCTTGATTCTTTTTCTGGTTCATTTCTATTGTAGCACGGCATAACGCATCCTTAAAAATTATATTGTAATAATTCTTCTATTTTCACAGAAGTCAAAACATTAGACTTTTAGATAGAATAATCTAAATAGAATGTAATATCATTAGAATAATAAGATAATATAATTAGAATTCATATAATATTTTTCTTTTTCCTTTATTTCTTCTCATATGAATATAGATTTAAGATTTAGAGTTAACAAACTTATTCTATAGCTAACCTAATAGCAAAAATTTTCATCTGATATATAATATATCATCAAATTACTAATTATATTTCTATATTTAAGAGGCTTTCTATATTTAGATGCATCTATATGGATTCATATAAATATAGAAATATCGTAAAATTAACATGAATTTAATTCTTGCAACTTTTCTTTTTTGTGGGACCTCAAAACGTTGATGTAAATGATGGAAATGATTCTCTAGAGTGCAAGTATATAAACTAGGATATGATCGAAGTATCTCACCACAAAATTTTCCATGAATCATTTACAAACTTGAGCCAACAAGCACATAAAAGTGTTGGGAGCTATGATGCGCTGACACTCCGCTAAAAGAGGGTATGCAATGTCGGACACGCGTCCGGCACAGCATGGACAAGTGTCCGACACGGCATTGGAGGTTCGCAATTAAAAAAAAATTAAAATTAAAACTGGACACTCGTGTCCGATTATTAAATAATAGAATCGTCCGATTCATTAGGTACATGCTTGGTACCACTAGGTATCGCTCAGTACATGCGCGGTACCGCTAGGTACATGCTCGGTACCGCTCAGTACATGCTCGGTACTACTAGGTACATGCTCGGTACCGCTCGATACATGCTCGGTACCGCTCGATACATGCTGGATACCGCTCGGTATATTTCCATACAAACAACTTACGAACTTTAAAAATAACCAGAACTTCAAAATTACTCTTACCCTAAAAAAATGGTGGGGGCAAGAAATATAGGGAGCCTATACCTCTTTCCCACACGAATGATTGGTCCTTAACCGAAGACCCACTAAATCACGAAAGATGCGACTAAGATGAGGAAGAACAAACTCTTACATTTCAAATTAAACTAAAAAGAAAAAATATAAAAAAAACATTACAAACGACGACGGATTACAACTTTTGACTTGAAATCAAAGACACCCTAAAGTTGGTTTACTTAGAGACGAAAGATACAGATGGAGTGGCACTTGCGGAGAGTCGAAAGAGATTAGAAGCCGAGACGAAAGGTTGGAAAGAGCTCGCAAGATTTCCGGAGGGGATGAGAAAGAAGACGGACAAAGCTCGCAAGCTTTTCCAATAACTCGCATGTTAGATTCCAAAAATCACATAACATTCACTATTTTAAAACATTACAAGCCTCTCATATATATATGTATGAAAGGGGAATACAAAAGGACACACAACATTAATTTTCACAAGAACCTAAACATCACAAGCATGGAAATCCCCCCATGCTAATCACGGAAAACCGCCCAAGCCTAGGAACCGAAGGAGCAGCCGCGGGAGACTTGGAGGCCGCACGGAACCAAGGCGCCACAGCCACGGGAAACATCCCAGACTCAGAAAACCAACAGCCGGCCGGAATTCCAAGGGGCAAAGGCACAAATAAAACTAAAGCCCATGGTGGAAGCCAAGGAGCCACACATGGGAAAACAAAACAACTTCTTGGGATTCCAAAAGCCCTTTTAAAAACCCAATAGACAACTTAAATGAAGATATTAAAAACTATAATAAAAAGTACATTAAATAAAAGATAACTATGAACTAAAACTTAGCTAATAATGAGCTAACACTTATTTCAATAAGTGAACTAAAGACCAGCTCATAAATGAGCTAAAATTTCAGCTCAATTGACTGAGCTTGTAAGCTCAAGGGAAGTCAAATCCAACTTATTTTGGGTTTGAGTTGACCCCCCCCTCCCTTTGCCTACATCAG